GAGCAATGACTATCTTATTTTGGTTTTATTTAAAAAAATGTGCAATTGTGATGCTTATGCCTCAATTTAGGCAAGTGAAATGCCAAACTTCAGGCTTTAGTGTTTTAATGCTTTGGCCCAGTATTCATTTAAAAGTATCATTGTAGTCAAAAGCAGAGTGATAATGTGAGGGTGGAGAGCAGAGATGAAGCATGTTTCCAATGGGAAAGTGCATTAAACCAGGACTGTTTAATCACATGTTGAAAATTATGCTTGTTTTGTCCTGAAAACTATGATTTTCTCAGAATTTCTTGCTCATGTTTAATAGTTGCCAAAACATTTTTCATTTCATAATCTCTGGTAATATGAGTAGGTGTTCTAACAATGCAAGACTTTTTTATTTGACAGAGCACTGCTCGCGAAGTTAAACGGCTGGATTCAATAACCAGATCTCCTGTCTATGCACAATTTGGAGAAGCACTGAATGGTTTAACAACCATTCGTGCATACAAGGCCTATGATCGGATGGCCAACATTAATGGGAAATCAATGGACAATAATATTAGATTCACTCTTGTGAATATGAGTTCAAATCGTTGGCTTGCTATCCGGCTTGAAACATTGGGAGGAGTTATGATCTGGTTAACAGCATCGTTTGCAGTCATGCAGAACCAACGGGCAGAAAATCAGGTTGTGTTTGCATCTACAATGGGTCTTCTTCTCAGTTATGCTTTAAATATCACAAACCTGTTGACTGCTGTTTTAAGACTTGCAAGTCTGGCTGAGAATAGTTTAAATGCTGTGGAGCGAATAGGAACATATATTGTGTTACCTTCTGAGGCTCCAGCCATTATTGAGAGCAACCGCCCTCCACCAGGATGGCCCTCAACAGGATCTATCAAATTTGAAAATGTTGTCTTACGATACAGGCCTGAACTTCCTCCTGTGCTGCATGGCTTGTCTTTCTTGATTTCTCCTAGTGAGAAGATAGGAATAGTAGGCAGGACTGGAGCTGGGAAATCGAGCATGCTTAATGCTTTGTTTCGGATTGTAGAACTTGAAAGAGGAAGAATTTTAATTGATGATTGTGATGTTGCAAAGTTTGGTCTGATGGATTTACGCAAAGTTCTTGGGATTATCCCACAATCACCAGTTCTTTTCTCAGGTATGTGGTATCCATCTTGATCTTCACCACCAAAACAGCTTATTTGATTTTGTTAGTGGTGTTAGTGAAGGGGTATTTCAGTCTTTGTACTTGTTGAGAATGCTGATGTGTACTGTTATGTTAGTTCGAGTGCCTCTTACTTAAAGAAGGGCACTCAAGTCTTTTTCAATAAGTCAATAATATAATAATAGGTCTGGCCGAATCAAGGGATTAACTTTTTTCCCTAATTCGAACCAGCCTTTCTCTCTTTTCTCTCTTCTCTCTTTTCTTCTTTCCTCTCCTACTTCTTGCTGTCTACTTTACTCTACAGTCAACGAACAAGACAGAATTCTATGGCAGGTCAAACTTCAACAGATTTGAACAACCTACATGGCCCACCAAAACAGTAGTTAATTGAAGATGCATCACAGCATTCATTAATAGAAAATCCTTGATATTATAGATTTGTATTTTGAAGTTCTTCAAATAACTCCCCCCAGCCCCCAACACAAAATAAATAAATTAATTAGCTACAAAGGTAAACAAAGAAAGGGAATATTGCTTTGTCTAATGAGAAAAACTCCAGACTATATGATCTAGCATGAGACATGGTAGATTGGACATGCCCATGCAAAAACACCAAGTCAAAGAACAAGATGTTAAAAAAGCACCATATTACCTAGGTGTTGCCAGGACAACTATGATTGTAACTGATATAGATTCTCACTCAATCTCTCATATTGATGTGGATTAAGTTGATCTTCCGATTGTAACTAATATGAATGCTCATTTATTTGTTTTCTAGGAACTGTACGATTCAATCTTGATCCTTTCAATGAGCATAATGATGCTGATCTTTGGGAGTCTTTAGAAAGAGCACATCTAAAGGATGTAATCAGAAGAAACTCTTTGGGTTTGGATGCTGAGGTATGTTGCTCAAATTTGTTTCTTTATTTTTTCTTTGGGTGGGAGCAAAGTTACCATATAGAAACAGATTTTGTGACACCTAATGAACAGGCAGCAATTGGGATTTAAGATCTAATTGTCCAAATCTAGTAAATTTCTATTTACCTATTCATTTTCTTGGTTGCTAATAATGTTAAATGATTGTCTATTCCAACCTTTGTTTAGCCGCTGTCTGGAATATGACGTTCCATAAAATAGGTATTTGATTGGACAATTACAGATTCATTACATTCTAATAAGAAGACAAAACCTCAGCATGCATGATTGAGAAGTCCCAACAATGTTTCTTATCAAATAAACTAGAAAACGTGCATAATATTTTAACACAGATGTCACTCTTTGGTGTGTCAAGGTTTCTGAGGCAGGGGAAAATTTCAGTGTTGGACAGAGGCAACTGTTAAGTCTGGCACGTGCTTTGCTGCGGAGATCAAAGATTCTTGTTCTTGATGAAGCCACGGCTGCTGTTGATGTTAGAACTGATGCTCTCATCCAGAAAACCATTAGGGAAGAGTTTAAATCATGCACAATGCTTGTTATTGCTCACCGACTGAATACCATCATTGACTGTGACCGAGTTCTTTTGCTTGATGCTGGCCAGGTACTTCAAGCATTTTAACTTTGCTTGTATGCTCCTATTGTCTTTCACATCATTGTTGTCACAGATTCGTGGGTTTTAGAAACCCCAGGCCTAAAATTGTTTAAAACCCAGTCAAACCACTATGGGCTTGTCAGGTTTTCTGAGAACTCACTGGATTTTTAAAGCATGGCTAATGTTTGTCAAACCATCTGGGTAATTGGTCTCTCTGTACATATGCTTTTTGCACAAAAGGTGCACTTGAAGACTGGAGCTTGTGTCTCTTGTGTGGTGGAAAAAACAAAGGCCATTAAACCTCAACTCGTCATCATGTATTAAATGGCCTATACAGTAATTATAGAAACATAAAAATTTATTTTAACTAGATAAACATTATTAGTTATGTAATTTATTAATATAATAAACACAATTATGTCTATAATTACTCAACTAAATATAGATAATAAACAGATTTTTATATTTTTATTTATGATGCCACATTTACTGGGTCAACTGGTGGCAATTGACCCATGATTAATCTCTTTTCATGGACTTGTGAATGATTCAATGATCTGGGTCTGACTGTACCTTGCTATCTTCGTAGGACAAATCAAATCTTGGTGGATGAGTATGAAGAAAGACATCTTTATTTAATTTAATGATGCTAACCATCTTTTAGATACACACAACTCCTCTTCTGGTTTGTGCTAAAGAATGCAATAGATCAGATGTTATAAGATTCATACAGGACATGATAGATAAGTATGGTACTTGGCCTAAGAAATTTCCTTGATAACACCTATCCAGTGTGTCTGCTTTGTCAGCAGTAAATGAGCTTTCTTCTCAAGGGTACAAAATTTTCTTTTTTAAAAGTGGACAAGCCAAATTCTGGAAATCAGCTAATAAAATTCCAAGTCTATTTCATATTCAAATTGTTATATCCCATGTTTCTATTTATAGTTTTGATACTGTACCTGAAGATTAAATGCTTTTATTCAGGTTCTAGAGTTTGATACACCAGAGGATCTTCTGTTAAATGAAGGGAGCGCTTTCTCTAAGATGGTTCAAAGTACAGGATCTGCAAATGCCCAGTATTTACGCAGCTTAGTTCTTGGAGAAGGTGAAAACAGGTCAACCAGAAAAGAAACCAGGGGGCAAGATGGACAGAGAAGATGGCTAGCCTCTTCCCGCTGGGCTGCTGCTGCACAGTTTGCCCTGTCTGTTAGTCTGTCTTCTTCGCAGAATGATCTCCAAAACCTGGACATTGAAGATGAGGACAGCATTATCAAGAAAACCAAGGATGCAATCATTACTCTTCAGTGTGTATTGGAAGGGAAGCATGACAAAGTCATTGAAGAGACACTGAATCAGTACCAGGTTTCTAGAGGTAGATGGTGGTCAGCTCTCTACAAAATGGTTGAAGGTGCGTGCATGATAGTTCTAAATGCATACATGTTTACAACTTCACATGCAYGGGGTCATTATCCAATATTCTTCCTGGCTTGAGGTCTTGGGTGGGGTTGACTGGATACAGACCTAACCTTTGGCATTTTTTGTTCAAGGTGGATGCTCACAGATTTGAATCTGTATTCTTGATGCTTGTCTGCCCAAGGTTTTACAAATTGCTCCAATCAGTGGTCCCTATGCATAAATATCTATATACATAATGCATGTGTATTTGTATAGTAAGGGGAAAAAGAATTTTAGGATTTACTGTTTTTTATGGTTAAAAAGCTAATCTATTAAGATACATCATCAATACAATCATCCCAAAGAACTTCTAACAATCAAAAAGGAGGTTCCTTATCCCAAACTACTTTAGATGAAAGTAATTTAGCTTTTTTTAGTGATACAAATGTGCAGCTCTATTACCCAACATGTAGAGAATCTTAAAGTATTCACAATTTCTAAATAAGACCAGGGGCAGCAAGGACTATGTCCATTCAAAACAGAAGTATCTTCTAGTTAATTTAATCCGGTTCCAGCATGATTCGCTTCCATATTTCSAATTTTGATCAACCAGATTTTTTAGAACATCAGGTGACCCTTATCAAAAGGGAGAATCATGAAAATTCCTTCCCTACAATATCTTCAGATTTTAAATAATTCGATTTCAACAAACTAAACCACAAAGCACTCAAAGAAACAAGGAATCTTCATGAGAGTTTCAGCAAGAGAAGCGGATTGATATCCCCAGCTCTCCTGATACCCAAACCACTCCATAGAAGAAATATAGATTCCCAATCACACCATCTTTATCCACCACTCTTATCCTTTTTGTTATGCCAATTCTATAGGAGGTAATTGGGGTCGTCATGGTTTTTCTTATTCACTAAGGGATATAGAACTAGTTAAATTTTACTTTTCTTACGATTTATAACAAATTGGAAAACCAAATCCCACTGAACCATATTTAACTAGAAAAACTTCAAGTATCTGAGACCATATTGCCTATGATTATGCAATTACATRGTCCTAGCCAGACAACAAAATTTCTTAATTTATTTTTTCTTTTTCTTTTGGCTTGTGATTAGATGAATAGTAAAAAAATTATTAGATGGAACTGGAAGGAACCTCCTGTAATATTTACAATGGAAGGTTATAGAAATGATTTTTGTACAATATGAAGAAAGTGATTGGTATGCTCCATTGAACTCGATGGAACCTCCTGTAAATGCACAATGGAAGATGATAGAAATGATGCAACTATATGATCATTGTAGGAAAAAAGATGTGCGGTTTTGGTGGTTCTGATTAAAATTGGTTACTGCTTCAGGTCTTGCAGTGATGAGCAGGTTGGCTCGCAACAGGCTTCAACAATCTGACTATGGTGTTGAAGACGGATCAGTTGACTGGGACAGTATTGAGATGTAGGATGCTACCTTACCAATGTTCACATCCTTTTAGAATAATGAATACCTGATGACAAGAGAAACAATGAAGTAAAAGCAATGGAACTGCATCAGAATCTACCATAGACAGCTCTGCTCAAGCTAGAAATAAGGAATGCTGATAATCCTTTCTTCCAGGAATTATATGTTGATTAGTGGTACTTACAGATTCAAGATTTTCTTATGTTTCATGTGAAAGTTTACAGATGCATTAGGATATATCATTAGGCATTTCTATAGGTGTACCTTTTTTTGTGTAGGGGACAGGGGCGCATATGGGGGTATGGTTGTGTGTGTGTGTGTATGTGAGAGAGAGAGAGAGAGAGATGATTGAAGGGAAAACTCACTCAGTTCAATGAGATTGCGAGAGACAAATCACAAATCTCTATTGTTTACAATGAATTCAATAGAAAGAGAAACGCTAGGAAACTTTTATTTTTGGCGAGTTACACTAGGAAACTGAATGTTGCAAAACAATCCAATATTTAAAAGGTGTAAATTTCCCAAGGTTATGTTTGCTTGCAGTGCAATTCCATTTACACTAGTACAAATACATGGGAGTACAAATGAGAAAATTGCAGATTATGATTCATTTTTGTTTTGGCCTGTACTTTATTTTGCTTTAGGTTTTATTTTACTTTTGCCTGCACTGCTAACAAACAAACAAAAAGTAAAACTTGTAGCAAACTTAAACCACTATTTGGACTTAATTCATTTGCACTGCCAAAGTTATGCACCATTGCAAATTAAATTACACTACACCACTAACCAACGAAGCCTAAACAAAAGAATTTTAAGCAGAATAGGACTTGGATCACCATTCATTGTTGACAATTACGATTCAAGACTAATCTGTTCGGTATAAAAGATGAGTCATGTGTAAAAAGGCTTTGTGATTATCAAGCTGGGAACAAGGTTCAAAATATAGGGCGTATCGGGCAAATGGATACTRCTTTTTTCTTTACTTTTTATTTTTTATTTTTTCTCAAATTGGTTTAGGGGGGCCGATTTAGGGCTTTTCCACACCGTGAATTGGTCAAACCCCCAATACACCCACTATAGGGGCGTATCGGAGGGGTCCCAGAACAATACATATCGGCCGAGACAGGTCGATTATGTCGATACTTTGAACCTTGGCTGGGAGTCTGGGACTATAATAATATAATGATAGGAGCTGATACCCAATTCTCAAGAAGGAACGATGTAGATGCTTCTCAAAAGGTAACGAGAAAGAGGAAACTCTTTAGATTTTGCGTGAAGTAGACAAGTGATTTACTAGAAACGACATGTTTGGGCGCAACTGAAATGTATTTCTTCTCATCAACTCAACTCTGTTTAGTAATATTGGGAACTGAATTTGGAACATGAAAAGAGAGAAATACCAAGTACTGGAGAAAACCTTTACCTACAAACTTACCAGTTACCACCCCTACTTTGGAAAATTCTACATTTCCTATTTAATTGTTTAAAAGAAGTGAAAAAGTCAGATTTTCATTTCAAAGGAAAGAGTTTTATGCAAGGTTCAAAATATCAATATGCCCCTACCGGCGTATCGGGCGAATTGATACACACTTTTGTGCTCTTTTTTTTATTTATTTTTTAAATCAGTTCAGGAGGGCTGGTTTAGGGCTCCTCCACCCCTTGAGCCAGTCAGACCCCCGATACACCCACTATAGGAGCATATTGGAAGGGTACCGAAACAATATGTATCAGCCAATATGGGACGATATGTGTTGATACTTTAAACCTTGGTTTTATGAATAAAAATGTTTATTTGAAAGTTGAAGCAGAAGCTGGACCATTACATGTCATAAACGGCAGTACTACGAAGTTTTACCCTTTGACAATTATTGTAAATTGAATATCACTTATTCTAAGAATCAATGTTAATAAATTTCTTGAAAAAAAACACTAACATATTCTTAGGTTCTCAAATAACGATGCCATATCTCCTTTGGGAGCCATTTGAATCTTTGAAAAACAAACTTTACTAGTCGGGATCCATGCGATCCACGGGTTTTATTTAACTAAAACCAGAGGAGCCTGATGACATTTCCAATTGGGCCAAGTTGGTTCAAATCCAACCCAAGCATATCGTTATTAAAACAAAATTTACATATCGTTATATAAACTCCATTAAATGTATTCTTATTTAATATTTTTTTTAATTTTTAATTATTATAAATAAAAATTAAATGAATTTTATTTGTTATTAATTATAATTTTATTCATAATTTTTACTAATTATTTTAGATGAAATTGTATTAATTTAAATTTCAAAATTAAAAATTATTCTTAAAAATAAATTTTTATTATTTCAGAACAAAATAGAAGGAGCTTTGTTTAGAAAAATTAAGACTTGTATAATTCCCAATTGTACCGAACTGGTCTAAGTCCAAACCAAAAATTATTAATTTTTATTACTCTTTTTTAAATTAGATGATTGATCTTTATTATTTTTATATGATTGTTAATCTAGAAATTTTTGAATGAAGTATCGTTCTTAGTTTAATAATAATATTATTAACCAAATATATAACTAACGTTATATATTTATTTACTAGCGGGAACCCATGCGATGCATGGGATTTGTTAAGTAAAAGCTAAACAATAGAAACACATAAGAGTATACAATTGTTTTATATTTTTTTAACTTTTTAAATAATTAATAACTATTTATATTTTATATACTACTTTTAATAATTTCTTTTCAATACAAAAATAACAACAATTAATTTTAACTAGGGTTGTTCATCAAATTGATGAAACCGACCAACTCGACCCGAGTTGGTAAGTTTTCTAGTATTTCCAGTCGGCTACAAATGGCAACGAGGGGGGGCAGGAACGAAAAGCTTCTCCCCATCCCCGTCCTTGTGCCCACTAATCCCCACCTCCACAAGGAATCCCATCCCCGTAGGGATCCCCACTCCCCCATGATTTTTTATAATGTCAATCATTTTGTTTTTATTTTTTATTTTATTTATAAAAATAAAAGTAAAATAATTAAAATTTAAAATCCTATTAGAAAATATTCAAATATATTAAATAATATTTTTAAATAATATATAGACGTATGTGTACATATATACATATATATTAGTGGGGATCCCATGGGGTGGGGATCGAGGTCCCTATGGGGTGAAGAGTGCTCTCCACGTCCCCACCAATGGGGATGGAAATTTCCCAATCCCCTTCTCTGCAGGGGATGGGGGGAACCATCCCCATCCCCACCCCATTCGGGGCGGATCCCCATGGAGATCAGGGAAATGGGGAAATTGCTATCCCTACGATTGGCTTTGGTTCAACAATTTCCTAACCCCATCGAATTGGATCAATTTTGCTTTGGCCATTTGTAAATCGAACACCCTAAGCATAGATATATGTTAATATTTTATATTTTAATATAGGAAAGTGGCAAATTTCTCATATTTCTTAGTCTAAAATATTTTATATCATAAATTTAATTTTTAAATTTATTTTTTTACTAATGTCACTATTTTTTAATTTTTTAAGTTTAAATCTTTTGGACCGACCGACCAAACCAAAAATCTGCCCAAACYGATGCAACTCGAGTTGGCCAATTTTCACTAATGGATAGTTGGTTTCGGGTGACCAACTCCCCAACCTAACTAGGTTGATTTGGTTGGTCAAACAACCTACAACCGAGTCGAGCCAACTTGTGAGCACTCCTAATTTTAGCTAAATTAATAGTCTAATCTCTAATAAATTAGTTTAATCTCCAATAATAACTAAAAATTTATAGCAAAAATACACAATTATTAAAAAACAATAAGTACAATAAATTAAATTTAAAAGTTAAATAATAGTAGTTTAATCTTTAATAATTATTGAAAATATATTTAATCACAAAAGACAATAAATATTTACTAAAGATAAAATAAATATTAATTTTAGTATAGATAAATAAATAATAAATATATAATAACATTTTAATATTATTATTAATAAACATTTTTTTGAAAGTTATTTTCAAGAATTATTAATTGATATACATAAAATTAGTTATTTACAATATTATTTAGTTATTTAAATAACTAAATGGGATGAGAAATAGAAAATGGGAGGGAGGGTACTGAGAGGATATTCACATGATTTTTGTCATTTTGTGTCCGGTTCAACCGGTCACTTTAGTTAATGGCCAAAAGCCCGTTAACGTTAGATTCTTTTCACCCAACCAACGTGGTCGCCTTTCATTGGTAGGTTCATGCATCCCGTGAACCCACGGGTCCACAGAACACGGACTATTAGAAAAGGCATGCATGTACAACCCCAGTTTCAAGAAACTATCTGCATTTTTTATGAAGTTAAGACGTCTGGTTTCCTAAACTGCCAAACGTTTCAAACTCTAAAAGGTATTAGCATGCGCACTGGGGTTGGTTTCTTGGAGTCTAATTATTAACAATACCAACCATGACTGTATCTGACCAATTATTTGTTTGGTCAGATATAAATGAAATGTTTTTTTTTATTGGTGCAAATTTGGCACTCTATCTGTACCAATCTCTCCGTAGCATGTTTAATTTTTCCTTCTTCTTTCATTGTTCTTCTTTTAACTATTAGTAAATATGTACATGTATTTGCACGTGACAGTATCTCTAAAACAACTATTTATAATCAATGGACAATTTTTAAATGGCTATAACTTAATAAGTGGGTAGTTTCTAAACAGTTATGAGTGAACAGTTTATGAAGTGAGAATAAATGATGCATATGCCCTCATTGTGCCTGCTGTGTGCTTAGACAAAAGGGATATAAAATATCCAATGAAAAATCCAGAAAAAAGAGGATTCGCTCTTTTATAAATAATATAGATATAGATTTATTTAATCTTATCAGGGTTGTTTTGCTTTTGCACAATCGTTGTTTAGATTGTAAGCCAACGGTGAGTGTGATCCCCCTTAGGAAAGACCAAAAGGGCATACAACTTTGTATATGAAAGATACTTCTTTTCTTTGTACGTAGATGTGCCTCTTTCGAGTGAAAAGAGCAAACATTGATATTTTGGATAAAAGAGGATCTTTTTTGGAAAGGATAAGAGGTTGAGAGAAAGAGGGTGTTCTTTGTAAAAGAGTGGTTTTTTTCTATTTGAAAGGGTTCGTGAGTTTGAGTGAGGAAAGTGAGAACAAGTATATACGAGAGCTGAGGGTTAATTGGGATGTAAATGACAAGGAATTGTTCACTATCTCTCATCATTTTTCATCGGCAGGGRTGGATGGATTTATCTCTCCCGTAGATGTAGGTGATTTTTTTTTTTTTTTTTTCTGAGAACAGATCCAAAGCAAATGTATCGATTTGGGAAATCTGATACAGTCAACTAATGAATAATTGATACAAAAGCTTTTTTTTTTTCTTCTTTAATTCTTCTCTAAGTTATCTAGTTTTCCTTCTTAAATTTCTGGTTGCTTTCTATTTATTCTGTCTATAGAACACATAAACTTGAGCCCAGCTGTGAGATTGATTCCTCACCTCTATTTCCTTTTCTTTTTATCTGTGAAAACAAGCT